GAGATCTCCAGGAATGGAAGGTCTGATGCTCAGTGTTGTAGTTTAAAACCCGTTATTTGGTAACCCTTTTAAATACAACCCCCCCTCAATCAGGACTTGCTAATATATGTTATCAAGAGATAGGAGGCTAATAAGTTTTCCTGAAGTTCTCTGAAATGCTATATATTTTGCAGTAGTTCTACTAAATAATATTTAAATACTTATTGTTTTATTATTGCACTAGAAACCTTTCATTTCACTGTTAGGGAAATATTCCAGAAAAAGGCCCATATTCTTTTCATTAAAAAAAAATCAAGTCAGCGTCCAAAACCTCTGTCTAATATCTCCTTTTATATTATAAAATCTTCCATAAGGCCTAGTCCTAACAAATGCTAACAAATTATTGAGAACTTCCTTCTAAAATATACTGCTCGGTTCTTAATATTTATGGTATACATGAAACTTGAAAGCATCTGTTCTGCAGAGAAGTAGCTATTAAAATACACTTAACCAGTAAGAACTGTCTCTTAATTCAGAGTCAGAACTTTGCTCAGTAGCCTTGCGGGAGTTAGCTGAGCAGGGGTGATTCCAGGAAAGTGGTGGGAAGGCATTTTCTTATTTATTTTGATTATAAGGAAATAGTAATTTGTTTCACTAAAAGGTCTTCAAATTATTTGTACAAACTGGTTGACGTCATCTACAGATTTGCGGCACAGTGTTGAGAAAAGTTACCGAGTTAATTTTATCATGTTGTTTCTTGGGGTGGGTTGTTTATTGTTGTTAATTAAGCAAAGTTCTGCATAGGCAATTTCGAAATTGTATATAATGGATGTGAAAACTTGGAAACTCTTACACCAGTGTAATCATGTAATAACATCTCGTGTAATTTCTCAGGCTTTGTGTTTGATCGAGGTATTTTGTTTGGATTCAGCATTGCTCCTGCAATTTTTTCTTCGCTAATTATGTGAGCATTTTTATTATTGTATTAAGTAGCTAATTAAATCTGGTCAGGTCAACCTTTCTTGATGATTAGAAGTAGGCATCTCATCTTCTGAAAAAGCTAATCATTTTGGGTGGAACATCTTGTTCTTGTTTGAATAATTATCTTTGTTTACGTTCACACAGCACTAATCGCTTGAACCAGACATCTTTTGGGAAAAAAGGGGGACTGCCCATAGCAGGTTTTCGAATGCCATATACATGAGTTATGAAGGAGGATGCATTTGCCTCCGTTCTTCTCTATCAGCAAAACAGGAAGACGTTTTGAATTAATAAACCAGAATAAAAGCTGTATCTTCTAAGTACTACTAAACAAAGAACTGTAGTTTGTTTCAGTTAACTTTTAATAGCAAGTCCTCCTGGCTGATTTGTTGAGCTGGAGTCTTGTTCGTTTGCGGAAAATGCCTCATCAGCTGCAAAGCAGTTTTTTCACTTTTTAATTATTGCTGTTATTAATTTATATAACTCTATATAACTCTTATAACTGCATGTGTTGTGGCTTCTTACATCAAAGTTGAGACCAAAAGGAGAGACGGCAAAGCAGCTTCTTTAGAATTTCTCTGTGCTCCTTGCCCCTTGTGTCTGAGCCCTGGCAGGTTGTGTTCTTCTGCTGCTTCTCTGGGAAGGACTCCAGAACTCAGTCAAAGGGTGTTCATGTTGAAGACCATTTTACTTTGATCATGAAATACTGTGATGGTCATAAACTATTTCTTCTCAGGAGCAAAATTTTGGGGTTATAAGAGATCTGTTAGCTCAATGCCATATGGTCCAAAAAGCAGACAGGATGCTAGAAACTATTAGGAAAGAAATGGAGCCAAAACACAAGACATGCTGATACCAGTATAAATCCATCACGTATCTGCATCTTGAATACTGTGGGCTGCATGTCTTAGAAAGGTTATGTTAAAACAGGAAAAGCTGCGGAGAAGGGCAACGAACACAATCAAAGATATGACAGCTATGGAGGTTGTAACCATATTCACATGTGTATGCATCGTAGTATTTCTTCTACAAAAAGATGTGAAGTCAATTAAAGACGTAATTTCTGTGCAATTCCTTTTCTGATTAAAATTGCCTTCTTTAAGTGATTTGATTAGACATAAATGTATGTATATTATGGTTATCAGTCTTTATAGTTAAAATAAAGCTTTTCTCATTGGAGAGAGGAAGGATATACACGCAAGTTTAGATCCCTAATACGCTTCCACTAGCTCTTCCCTGTTCTTTTAGTTTTTCTTTTTCTTTTTGTTTTTCTGTGGTGCATTTGTGGATGTATTTTTCTCTTTCATTTGTTTTCTTTACCTTGAACTTTCTCTCCAACCCTCCAATTTTCCTATTTTTAGCTAGACCTGATTATACATGTTTTTATCTCCCTCCATTTTACCGTTTTTTCTCAGCATTTGTTGATGTCTCCCTTTCACATGTACTTTGCTGTCTTTCTCTGTGTATTGAATTTCAGCTCAAATGGAAAGACTGAACAGGGATTTGGGCTTTGACCTTTTTCTTGATAGTGGGAAACAAGGTAAAAACCAACTTAAAGTCATGGCAGGGGGCAGGGTGTCTCTTAGCTGACCTGTGACATGAGGAAGACTGAGAGAAAATAGATTCCTATTTAGCAAACTTAACTTCCCCTAAAAATTCATGCTCCATCCTTCCAGCTGGAAATAAGAGAATATAATGGGTTGTTACAAGCTGTTAAAATCTGAGGCAGAGGAGGGGGAATAGGCTGAAGTTATTCTATGAATTGTTCAGTTCTTTGTGGGAGGCTGTTAAAATAAAGCAACAATATAAAAGACGAACTATATACATCAAACAGCTTTACATTAAAATTGTCATTATGATATTTCTTCCTCGATTGTCTAACAATTGTGTACTTTTTTTAAAAAGTTTTACATTTTTTGGTTCTTTCTGAACATTATGAAAATTGTACTGAGAGGAGTAAATTCATTTGCATAAAATTGACTGCAAAGAGCAATTAGTCCTTCATTAATATGCAAATTTGGTCCAGTGCAAATTCATCTATATATGAGGCTTAAATATGCAAGTCAGTCTTGCTGTGCTAGAAACCCAGATGCTTTTATTTACTTTGAAATTGAGGGATTTGGTTAATGATGTTGTTGACAGGAAAACTTGAATAAATTTGATGATCACCATCTTTCATATTAGACGAGGCCCACGGAAAAAAATTACCAAGTAAAATACCAATTTTATCTGGTAATTTCCTATTACCAATCTAGTAATAAAATGTAAGATACAAAGTAATAGAGTTAGATTTCCTAATGTAGTTATCCTGAGACTTAAACTGTTCCCCAAAGATAGAACCATTTTTCTTAAACTTTGTTTTTTCCAGAGGGTAAAGACATCTACATAAGCTGTATGAATAACATACTGCCTAGAGATTTAATATTGGGAAGTCAGCTCTGTTGCGTGTTTCATTTGGAGAGGGTATGTAAGCCTGGGAATTAAAAAGCAGGAGCTTTAGAAATGGCAGTCATCAGCATCTTCCATTAAATATCTGTATAGTCTTTTCCAGATTTAGTAATGAGGCCTTTGCTCTGAACCTATGGAGCCGGATTGGAAGCTGTTTGAACCCATGGCCGATTATATTTGGATCACCTAAGCTAATTAATAAACATTCTTTTATATATTTTTCAATGTTTACAGCCTCAGCAGCACAACTTTCTTTCTTCTGTTGCTCAACATGGAGTGGCTCTTTCTCACAGATCTAAGAGGTGGTGACGCGTCTTGCCTCTCTCCTCCTCCTCTTGCCCCTGCCCCAGCATGCCATGGCTCTTTCGGCACATCCAGGATTTCCATGGTTTTGTCCAGTAATGCTGCAGCGGCCATCACCCATCTGAGTCGCGTGGAGACAGGATTCCCTTTGCAATTATCAGGCTTGTTTTGTTTGCAAGGCGGGGGCATGCCGCTAAGGAATACAAACTATTCCTCCTAGCTTTGCTTCCGTCGTCTTCCTCCGTAGTTCTCTCAAGCCTAAATTTAGCCTTGGCATAAGCAACCTGGTCTTTCACTTCAATCATGCACGCTTGTGCCAGGATTAAATTTGGTCCTCTCTCTTGTCTGCCTTGGGCACAGGCACATTTAAAATAACAGAGGAATGTACCTTAAATGGCCTGGACTCTATGGCAGTTTATAAGGCTCTAGTTGCAAGTACCCGAGGACAAGTTAATAGATTATGCAGTTTGATACCTATGACTTCCTGGCACAGTTGTTTCGCGTATAAATCCTCACAGTGGCAAACAGTTAGTTTCTAAATTGTTCATGTGCTGTACTAGGCAAAAAAGTCTTTAGATTGGTGTTAAGGAAAGACAAAATGTAATGAGACGTTAAAACTGTCGTGCTTGCTTACCGCATAGTTTACAGTCTTGCAGGTGAATCCAAAAGCAGGAAAATAGAGGAAGTTGAGTATTCATGGGGGTTTCTGTTAGGGTTGCGTATGGTCTGGTTATTGTGTAAGCAAATCTGTCCTTTCCTCCTCTCAGAAATAAGGCACTGACAGCTGTCAGAGGGCATAATATGTAAAGTATTATTGGCAGTACTTAGTAGTTCGTGATATGATAAATTGATTAAAAGGTGAAACTTTAAAACAGACAACATCTTCTAAAATTTAAATAATATCTGCCTGCTAAAATACATTTAGAATACAGTTTCTACTGTTCAGCAACGTCCACAGCAATCTTGGCTTTCTGATCTAGCTCCCAGAAGAAGGAAAATATCAATTTTCAAAGTCTCAACATATACAAAGAATAGGCATCTCAGTGCAACCTGAGGTTGTCTCCTACCAACTTTATAATCTTTATATTCTAGATTAATAAACACCTCAGCCTTGGAGTTTATTAGTCCAAAATATATTTGTTGCCTCATAAATTCAAACCCCCTCCAGTTATCATCTAATTAAACTGCAATACTATGCATGCTATCTTAGGGGATGTATTAATAACAAAATTATGTCATGGAACAGTAATTACATACTTTGTGCTTTCTTTTCCTTACTTCTTTTTCAGAGTCTATGGGATGAGCTGGGTACACAGTGCTCCATCGTTTTGAGCGTCTCCAAACTCTGTGAGTATTCAAGGATAAGCTGATTTTTCTTCCTCTTAGTAAAAGAGAGAAAAGTTTGTGCATTTTTATACCTGGGAAAGAGAAGAACCAATACCGCTGGCTAGGCACAGTTATGAAATATGATTGTGCTAGTAATTTTAGCTCATGTTTTCTCCTCATTCTTTGGGGAGATTTCTCACAGGAATAAAACCCTGCTTACAGGATTTTTAAAAGCCAGTTCTTACTGGAGTTGCCAAAAAGTGGAGATCATCAGTTTATTTGCAGGAGACTATTAATTTACAGGAGTTCACTGGTGGTGTATATTTGAAAAAAAAGAAGATATAGTCTTATAGCCTTTCCTCAGGAGAGAGATTTACTTACAAATTTTTCAGAGGTAAATGTGCTTACTGAGTTGTAATGCATATATGGCTTGTCCCATTCATATATGGTTATTCATATTTTGGTTTGTGCTTTGTCAAAGTTATCTTCCCAGCCTCTTCTAATATACCGGATGGTTGTGTATTCACAATATCACTTTTGCTCGATTTTTTTCAGTTAATACAAAACAAAGTATTCTGAGTCCCAGCTAGCGTTCCTCTACAATGAAAGTGATTGCACAAGAGGCAAAACAGCAGTGAACCAGGACCTGTTTGCACATACCTTCCATGTGTTCTTTAAGTACCCCTTTTATTCCTCAAGTTCAAATACATCCATTGAGTAATAATGGGAGCATGTGATTCTTGTTGACATAGGCTCCTGCTTTGCCTCACAGAACTGAATTTTTATTCTCTGTTATCCTTCCAGAGACTCTAATCCAGAAGTTAGTCTTTTCAGGATCCGTATGTCAGTGGAATATCCTGCTCTGTGGTTGCCATATTCTCTTGTAATTTGTACAACCTTTTGCTTGTCTTCATTACAAACAGTGACTGCAGCTATGCAGCCATCTGTATTTAGAGGCATCTGTATTAAATGACAGTTTCCATCAGTTTTTCTCCTGAATCTATTAGGTCTTTCCATCACAAAAAGTGTTTTTCCTTCCCCTAGGTTTTTGATCTGCCAGTTCTACAAGGTTTGCAACCTTATTGGAATTACACTGCAAAGTTACACGTTTGTGAACTATGTTAATGTTCAGAATGTGCCTAGTATTTTACGAATATCAATCAATCTTCCAGAAAGTTATTTATTTAATATAAGACATTTTCTGACTAATCATGCTTGAGATTTTGATATCTAGGCAAGTTGGAACCCCAATTTGTACTGGTCAAATAATGGAATTTTATTTTTCTCTAATAAGAAGTTAAGCAGTGTTGATTCACTTAATACAAGGGGGTTTGAATCAACCTCCAGCAAGAACGCCATCTCCACTTGTAAACTGACATTGCAACTTATTGCTTTGCTTGCATTTTGCAAGCATTGTGCAGCCACACTTTCAAGCCTTCCACGTTATTAGTCTTTTCTATTTCAGTGTAGAATCCTGCAAGACTTACATGAAAAGAAAGGCCCATTGTTTTTGAAAGCAGACAGTATTTCTAGTGCTTAATGCCTTCTAAAACTGATTGGTTTTGAGTACCTAAGGAATAAAATTGACTCAACAGCGTTAGCTGTATGAAAGCTAAGGACTTTAGAAGAGAAGGTGACATCTTATTAAGCGGTTGTTACAGTCCATTCCATTCTGACATAGTGATGGGTAGTCAGCCTCTTCTGAAACAAATAGGAATGAATTAGCCTGCAAAGACAATAAACATAGCTATAGTTATTACTTTCCTGCATGTTATTGTAAAGTTTCAGACTTTCACACTCTGTGGTGTGTATGACTTCCAGGAGGATGCAGAACACGTCACAAAGATAGCCTAATTTCTGCATTTCCAATACATTTTAATAAGATACTATTTGCTTTAACCCATAATTTTCATACACAAGCAATCCTAGTGATTTAAATCAGACTGTTTATATGAATATTATTTTCAAAAATAAAGAATGCATGGCTAGCTTATGCGTTTTTGTGAATAGAAAAGTATTTGTAAAATACACAACAAAGCATAATTATTGTATGAAACAATGTATATATTACAAAATTTCCAATTACTTTGTCAGCCTAATGTCAAGGAATTTACCTCTTGAGATTGAACAGTCCTGTGTTTGGTTCTCGTTGTCTTTGGTAAATTGGTGTGGGATACCACTTGACCAGATGGAACTAAGCATTCGTTCCATTGTATTAAACGCAAACATCTGTAAAGAATCATTATATTTATGAGATACTGCTTGAACATACTTTTTTATTGCTCAAGATTTATTACTGGTTTGTCAAACCTGATGATTTCAAAACTTTTGGCAGTCTTATGTTTCTTGTGGCTATTAGTGCAAAATGGTAGTTATTGTGCCCACGGACCTGCGGAATGGTTAAGGTAGGGTCTTGCATATGTTGTCACATGAAAGCGTTTGTCATTGATGTCTAGTTTGCAAACTTTCAAATTAAACAGCTTTTTTATGTATTTCCCAATGCCAATAAATTCATTACAGAACACTCCCAGAGAAAAAGATGTATGTTGTCCAACAGTTCTATGAGATAAAAGATGCAGAAGGGTAATGTTATAGTCTGAAAATGTTTTATCCAATTTACAGTACAAAGGCATGAATTCTGAAGATTAATTCTGAGACTTCAGGGAGTAAAAGACATTTTGTTTATTTTTCTTTAAGTAATCTCTGTTTTTCCCCCTTTTTCTTCTTGTCCTCCTTTGTATTTTGCAGACATTTTTTTTGAGTCTATTAAGTTTTCCACTTATGAAATATATTATGGCTGAAGGTCGAAGGAAGACATTCAACCTTTGCCCACTTATGGCAATTACTCTGGAGACAACCACTGCTTGGAAAACAAGTATTATGAGCTACCTGTAAGTTCTGATTCACCTAATAGATAAGGAGCCAGAGATACTTCTGAACTCACGAATGAAAATTTTTTCGCTCATTGTCTGCTGCTCTTTTAAATGTAAAGCAAAGAGTGAAGTGTTCATGTATTCTATGTATAACAGCTGACATGTTTTCTGCATTCCTGTATTTGCCTAAAAAGTCATGGATTAACAACTTAATTTGATGTGCAAAATATAATGCGTGGATGAACTCTGATACATAGCCGTTGCCATATCCCTGCTGTTATGAGAGGCAAAGACTACTAGAAAAGAAACTGTCACGAAATTCTTCCCGATAATTTTGTCATCAATTTTTCTCCAATAATATATCTGTAGGTGGATTCCACAGATGTTTTTTTCCCCTGAATGGCTGGTTCTGTGTGTGAGTTATGTTTCTCACTGTCCTTCTTGCTGTATTAGTAATCAGACCTATCTTATAATTTCAGATGTTCAGTCCCTATATTCTTAACTAAGAAAAGCTAATCCGAAACATTTACTTTTCAAACCTTTTTTATTATTTAAATGTATACTTAAAATAATAATAATAATTTTCTACATATGTTACAAATAACTCCCCGTATTATTACTGTCGTGATGCAGAACAGGCAGGAGCCAGCAGCATAGAGAGACAGAAGTGATTGTAACAGAGGTTAATGTTTTACAAGTAATAACTTGGGTGTAGTGAGACTTATGGTCTTAATTAACTCTCTGAATGTTTTTCAACACAACCGAAGTAAATAATTTTAAAATCTAATTTACTTGTCCTTATGCTATCCGTTTACTCTTTGCCTTGCTGCTTTTGAATGACAAAAACTAGTCCGTTTTGCTTAGATTTTAGAGAATCTCACACAGATTAGAGCATCTATTCTTCTAGCAAAAAAGCAGCTGTATATGAGTAAAATGATAATCCTGACCAGGGAAAATAAATCAGCCCATGAGATGTGGCTTAGTTCTATATTTGCGTTCCTTTCTTGGAAATCCTTACGCTGGCCAGAATAGCCATCAGCATTACGTAGACTGGCAAAATTTGGTCATTATATTTCAGATAGTTGGTGTCCTTTTGCTGGAAAGAAGCAGCTGGATATTTTCTGTCATAATGTGACCAATCCACCTCTGTTGTTGTCATTTTAATTGCTGTGGCTGTTTTTTTAAGTCCTCTACAGAAGGTCTTTGTAGTGACAAGCGAACAGTTTACGCTTCATAAGCAAACATAAAGAAAGCTGCTGCTAATTGGAGAGGGAGTAATGCAGTTATGATTCCATCAACATTTAAGTTACATTGTTAAAGGATGCATTTTGGTTGTGTTTATGTTGCCATATAAAATTCTACTCAGGATGAATTTGGTGGGGAAGATTTTATAATAGAAAAGACTAATTCCGGGATCATGGGAAACAGAGGGAGGAAAGGGTGGAAGGAAGGGAAAGAAGTGAAAATTTTCTAACCTATGTATATAATATTAAAGATCAGAATCTTACTACTCTTTTTATTTCTTATGATAAATGTTACTTAACTGGTGGCTTGTACTGTAGCTTGTCTTTAAAAGCAGAAAGACCTTCTCACAGCCCCCAAAAGCTCGCTTTACCTTGCCCTGAAGAACTGTAGCCACAATGTTTCATGCTGAAGAGGACTCTTGAAAGTCACCAGTAGTGTCCTTTAATGTCCTGAAGGAAGGAATCATTGTTCAGTAATTTACTCTCTTTTGTTTTTTTCCTAGAGATTTTGCATGTTATAGCTGTATCTGTTCACCTCCCAGCTTCTAAAAGTCTGAAGAATCTTGTTTTAAACTTTCTTCTTTTCCATAAATTACACTTCCATGGAATATTTGGCTGCAGATGAATAGTTTTACAGCTACATGTCCAAACTTGTTTCTTCTAAGTGCCTTTTTTTTTTTTCTATTTGTGTGTCTTTTCTCAGGTGACTACATTTTTGGAGCCTCATTCCGAATAGTCTTGGAGGGGCTAAAGATGCTTCCTTCCCCAGTTCCCTGGCTAGTTTGTCTGTTTTTCAACAATACAATTTTTTTAGTATCTAAACAAGGAAATTGCCGCTATTTACATGGAAAGAATCATAGAGATGACAGGATTTCCCCCCCCAAAGCACTCACTGTGTAATTGCTGAAGACATTCTAAGCCACTCTAACGAAGTGTACTGTCTGCCAGTCATTATGCTCTTCTTGGAAGACCATCTGTTGCACTTCAAATATGTAAAGGTCTGCCATCATTTATTGCACCAAACAAATCAGTTTCCTTGTCTAACATGTTGTAACTTGTGAATGGGGACTAAAGGTAGTTTCAGTTGCAAAGTGCAGAATATTCTCTTTTGTTGCACTATAAATGGAAGGTACCCGTTATTCACCTCAAATTTCAGAAGACCAACATACTGATTATTGACAAACTAGTTGTCAATGCTTTTGAGTAATACCCATTTATTTGGCAGCATAACGTCAATAACAGAGAATTCCAAAATACATTTTCTCTTAAGTTGGTCGTAAGTACATTGTGAGATTGTTGCTTCTCGTAAATGAACCTTTCCTTTGTGATGATATCCCAGATTTGATATATACTGATACTTGAATTAAAATGATCTTATTTTAACTAAATTATCTTTTTCTTTAATTAGATTAGTTTTATCTGAAACTAGTAATTTGAAGAAACTTTGTGTCTTTTGTTAATAAAAAGATTTAGCAGCTAGAAATACTAGAAAGTTTCTTTAGATAAGCCTGTGTTCTTTACAAGGTTGTAACACTTGGTTGTATAGTCTTCATTTATATTAATTAATTAGAATCTTTTCCATGAGGAAAAGGAGCAAGATCAGGCATGAAACAATGATTTTTTTTTCTCCCGCTGCAGATTTAAAGAGCTTGCACAGTCATTCATCTCACATGAGGATATAGATGTAATAGTTTCAGGGTAGAAGAATTCTATTCAGAGATTTCCAAGTAGAGAAATGCACAAATTTTATATCTGATTAGGGAGTGATCCCATCTTTGTCTCTTTCC